TAAAATTTTTGAACGTTTTTCACAGTCCGAAACAAAAATAAAATTCAGTTTTTTATCTGAACCCTAGTATTATTGGGAATAAATTGGTAGGAATATCGAAGCAATTGAATGAATAAATGCAATGTATCGAAGTTTTCAAAAACCGTCATTTTATACAATGTTTTTTAAGTATTTGCCATAGACAGTTGGTCGATGTTAGATGAAATGGCTTCTTGGATATCGTTTCCAAATGCGTCGAAAGTCCATCCGTCAGGACGACGCATCTAAATCAGATGTTTGAGATGACTTAAAAGTCATCTACTTAGTCACTCTAGCAGAAATTGTCTGGTTAACAACATTCTATTGTGTCTGATCGAAACTAACCTAATCTCCATATGAAGATGATTCATCAACATACATATATGATTTGGAGTATATTGGTATTTGTGTAATTGAGAAGAGATATTCAAACTGTATAATGAATCAAATCACAGTAAGACATTGAATATTCTTTGTCATATCGCACACCCAGTACAAAAGTGACACAACTCACTTTTGTACTAGTTTAACTCACTGTAGAGTTAAACTAGTATCTTGTGTATAGTTTAAGGCTTAAAAACGCAAAAATAAAATTTTGAGTTGTGTCACTTTTGTATTAGGTGTGCGATATGTAATTTTATCCTATAAATTTTGTGGTCTAAAGAAAGCCAAACCTACTAATTAGTTATAACTGTTACTCAACTATTTTAAAACTAATGCTCAAGTTTTACGCAACTATAAGTGTGTAATCAAGTTTAAACTTTTTCTTAAACACCCGCTAAATTAATACTAAATACTAGTATTAACGCGCATTCAAATCAATTTTATTTTTAACTTAATTTTTTATTTTTTAAATTTACGTATACAAACATCACTTAACTGCATTTATGAATAAAAAATGTTTAATTACACTTCATTGAAAGTCCACCTTTATGTAGTATACAAAAACTAATTCCTTTACCTTGTATCTTTTATAAAACTATAATTAACTATATAGTAAAAGTTATACATATAGGGCATAAGAACAGTTTGGTATTTTCTCACACGAGGTTTGTTCTTTCAAAACAATGTAAACAGCTGTAAACTTTTTTAAAATTCACCGAAACTACAAACTAACAAGGTTTATTAACAATTTTTATTTATAATGAGACTTATAGTTTTATTAACACTGCTTAATTTAATTATAGGTTCGTAGATAGGTTATATACATGCAATAAAGAGTATTCCGTAAAGGACTGGTCCAAAACTAATCCAAATATATGAAACCCGACAAAAACGGAAATCTGTTTTTTCACAAGAAAGACAAAAATTTCTACATATACTGAACCTTGCTTCCTGGGCAAGAAGATACCGGTGACAGACAAAGTTAAGTACTTAGGTGTAATACTTGACCGGAAATTAAAATGGAGACACCACATAGAGGATAGAATCAACAAGGCACATCGGTGCTAGGCGATATGTAGGAGAACCATAGGCATGAAATGGGATCTTAGTCCTACTATGACAAATTGGCTTTATAAAAGTGTAATTAGACCAATTCTAGCTTATGCTTCAATAATCTGGTGGACTGCTTTGGACAAAAAGTGTAATACCAAACTACTACAGGGAGTTCAGCGTACATGCTGCTTGGGTATAAGTGGTGCCATGTGTACTACTTCAACCAAGGCTCTGGAAACGTTGGTAGATATTCCACCCATTGAAACATATATAAGATATGAGGCGGCGCTTACAGCCGAACGGCTCTTTACTTTAGGCGAACTGGCCAAAAACGGTTATAGGACACGTCATCAATGTATACTGGACACATTGGAAGGTTATACACATTCATAGGACGTGCCTGATCGCATACCAGACACAGAATATGTCGGAAACTTTTAAACGCTAATCCCAGATAGAATGTATTGGTCAAGCGGAACTTTAGAGCAAATACCGGTAGGAATCCGTTGCTACACGGATGGCTCTAAATTAGGGGACAAAGTGGGCCTGGGGTTCTATATTGAAGACCCAGGAACAGAAATATACCACCGTTTACCTAATCATAACACAAGCTTCCAGGCAGAAGTACGAGCAATAACGGAATGTGTAAATTGGATTAGAATAAATATGGCGCCCACAGGGCTTAATATATTTACCGACAGCCAGAAGGCAATTAGGGCGATATCAGGAGATAGAATTAAATCTAAGACCGTATTAGATTGTAAGAAAGCTTTAACTGAATACTCTCCCAGAGGTAAGGTTCACATCATATGGGTACCAGACCACTCGGGAGTAGTCGGCAACGAAAGGGCGAATGTAATAGCTTTAAAGGGAAGGGAGCTCGATGTAGTTAACCTGACAAACGCAAAACCATTCGACGCAACAAAAGCTGAATTAAAAATATGGATGAGAGAATCCCATAAGGCCTCTTGGAATAATGAAACGGTGGGTAGCACCACAAAGATTCTATGGGGTGACCCTGGTGAGAGCAAGACGAGAAATCTCCTCAAAATGGGCAAGTCTGAGGTTAGTATGATGGTACGTATTCTGAGTGGACACACAGGATTACGTGCACATCTATACATAATTGGACGTGCGGATTCAGAGGAATGTAGAGCATGTGGAGAGGACAGTGAAACTCTGGAGCACTTTCTTTGCCATTGTCAGGCATTCGTCGAAGTTAGATCCAAGTATCTTGGAAGTGATGTTATTCCGGAAATAACATTCTTAACCAACACCGATTGGAAGATTCTTAGGAATTACATCCAGGAAACTGAGTTTCTGAACATGGAAAAATAATACATTCAGTGAACAATTTTTTTTTCATGAATTGGAGCGCACAACAGGCCCGATAGTGGCCTAGGTGTATTTCTTCGGATTTGAAGTAGTATACATCCTCCTATCAACCTAACCTAACCTAACCTAAATATATGAAACAACATACTCCATTTAACTTTGCCATTTCCTAAGTAATATAGATCAGCACAGCATACATATAACATTGAAAACTTACAAATCAAATAGTCCATGTCCTAGAAATTACTTGGTTGTGGTTGAATCCGTAGATTTTGTCCCTGAGTGTATCTACGAATTCAAGTTTAATCAAGACATTTCCCATACATTTTATAAATATGACAGTAAATAAGTAAAAACATTAAATCATCTGCCAGTTAATCTGCCTAGATATGGTTAACATTGTTTTAAATTAGTTACAGGATTAAACTAGGCTTGAAATCCTCAAATAATTCTCTAACAACGCATAGTAAACCTGTTGCGTTCAGACTTTAGGTAATGAATATACCTGCATTAGCTGCCTGGATATTTAGAATTACCTAATACTTTTTAAATTAACGGTCTTAATTTTTACCATGAAAACCTTTTAGGAAATACTTAAAATCTCAATAATAGGTTATAATAAAGAAAAATTTCCATAAAAAACCCTAATAAAAACATTTAAAATATGGCCTTTTTGTCTAACACAACCTAAAATTATTATATCCACTATGCAGACAAATAAAACATTTAGCAGTCACACACACACATCACTTATTGCTAACCTTGTAAAATATGCTTAAAAGTTTGCAATAAAGCTACAATAACCAATTAAGTTTCCTTTGTGTTTTTTTTTCTTTATAAAGAGGAAATAGAAGAAATGGAAAACCCCCAACAAAGTTTTATTAACTAAACGTTTTTGGCACGTCAGATTTGTTAGGAATTCTTTGTGAAATCAATAACTGACAATCATTGCCAAAGTAACCATTATATTGGGCATTGAAATTTATGTATAAAGATGTCTAGAACATTTTATATATTCACACCATTTTTTTAAACAGGTGTTACAGTTATGGAAATTCTCTTGCTGTCAACATGTTTAGTACTATTCTAATTTGCTTAAGAATATTGTATTATACATTAACAGTTTGCAAATTATTTACGTTTGTATTCTATGCAATTTTGCTACGTACTTATCAATCTAATGGCTGAAGGAGGATCTCTTAACTGTGCAATTAGACTAAAAATCACTGGCGATTGATATTCATGCGAAGATATTCAGTAGTCTGTAAAACCCATTTTTTGTGAGTGTAGATCGAATATGATGTCTATGTGATCATGATGGTTCTAAAACAATGGATGATGGCTTCTATGTTTTGTATACCGGAATGAAAGATTTTTTCAACTTCCTGAGCAGTGTAGCGTTATGCTGTCTGAAATATCAGGGCTGTATATGGAATTAAGTTCTTCCGATTGATATTGGACTATAAGTATACCAACATCCAAGTCGATCTTAGTGTTATTGATGGTGTTTATACGAAATTGAACTTTGATCTTGAAGGCCGTACACCTTTAAACGTGATGGCGAAACCTTGCATTGCAGAAATGCACTAGATTACGGGTTATCAACAGATACCTTATAATACAACAGCGTATTCCCTTAATCGTATTTTACTAGCAAGAAATCCGCCGGGGTATGTTACCTTGATAATCTTCCCACATCTTGGTGTTATTGCAATCCGGGGGAAACAGGTGCTCCTAATACCTCTAGTCTGTCGTGACTATATACTGGTGATGATCGAATATATACTCGGTCTTTCCTTAGAATGATTTGAAATGAGATCGAACCAGAGAGCCACATAACCTGGTATCACTAGAACCGGTAGCTCACAGGGCAAAGTTTCGGACTTTGTTTTGTCCCAGTTCTTAGAGATGTTCCTTCGTGGTGTCAATGGTTTACACTTAAATTCGCGGGAATGGAATCTCGGACTGATACATGGTAAAATCTATAAATCGTGGTAAGTTCGGTGGTGTTGCCGAAGTCAACAGATATCTCACGGAGGAGTGACTGGGGCACTAATCGTTGGAAATGAGTTGGGTATACGTATCTTACCCGACAGTATACCTAGATTGAGGGTGTCGGATGTTGTTCTCTATGAGTGTGTCGGATGAATGAGAAGTGTGCTGGGTTCAATGGTCATAGATGAAAAGTATCTAATATAAGTGATCCATACCTTGATTTTTATACCATTGATTTTTATTCCTTTTCCAGGTAAGTTCATGGAAAACTCTATTCATACCAGATTAACCACAGTGTGTTCTCTGTGAGTAAGAACAAAGTCATCGGCTTATTTGATGGATTCGTGTTTCGGACTGCCGAATACGTATCTAGGTGCTGACTCAACAGAGGCCATCCCATCTGTGTGAAAGCTAAGCAACGGGAGGGCAATGATCAAGTATTAGATAGCTCGAGTATTTGAGCAAAGTGCTTGTACGTTCAAGTAAAATACGGTGGTGGTAATTCGTCTAAAAAGCTAACCCTGTGGATGAAAAAGACGACCGTGAAATTAGGTTCGCAAGAGAAGAGATCGGCTTAGTTATTTGGAATTATCATGCATGTAGGAAAAGGATTCGTGATCCATCGAGTCTACCTGTAGAATGGCGAAGATCATGTGGACGATATAGAACGCACAAGATCACAAGCCTTATTTAATCGTTTGAATATTTAAAAAATACTTCTACATAATCTGTTATGATGAAGAAAAAGAAGATAATGACTCGGATTTAACCAAGTTGAACACCCGAAAGATAAACTACATTATTCGTGTAACAAAATGGTGAACTAAAACGATAGTGCCAAAAAGGATCAATGTGATCCCTGTTCAAAGACATACAAATTTAAAAACACGTTTCAATGGGTTATAGTTTTAATATTCAAAATCCTTTAATGATTTAGAAACTTTTTATGCCCAAAAGGTATCCTAGATCTTAAATTATCGTTAAGTGTTACAATTAGAATAAAGGAAAATATTTACAAGATGAAGTCATAGACATTTTCAGAATAATTGACAACATCAGTTCTAACTACAACCGACTACAATCCTTAAAAAACTATTCTAAGGGAATGATAGCTATCTCTGGACGCTTGTGTTTTAGACAACAATATATTTCTATTACAAACAATAATCGCAATCTGACCATTATTTTTATTCAGATTACCAAACTGATTTTATTTATTTAGCATTTCTTTTATAATATTTATTGTCTTTCATAAATAACTTTGTTTACAAAGCAATCGAATTCTTGTGAGCTTTAACAACAAAACAATTTTCATTTATGTATTTTTTACAAAAAATAAATATTCCATATTTTGCAATATTCTTTCACAACAACGTCGTCAAGTTTGTAAACTGATAACATACTTTTTTTGCATTTGTTGCTGACGTTTTACTATATAGTATATTTTTAAGCCCCCCATGAACAGAAAATAATATTGTTTTTTTATGCATTTTATTATTTTATTTTTAAAAATATTTTTTTTTGTTCAATGAAAAATAACTATATACTCCACGTATTTACGACTTTCACGTACATTTTTTTCCCCGAACGAATGATACTATTGAAAACTACACAACTGCAACTACTGATCATCACATTTTTATTATTCTCCCTCCATTTTTTTTAGCTTGTTTTCATATTATTTGTCACAATTCTGAACTTAATAAAGTGTAAATCCCACCCATCCTCCTGTCTATTAACTCAAGAAATATGATGCAAGAAAGTATGGTTCAATTATCATTTTTATTTCAATATATTTTCTTACATGTATACTAAGTATGACTTGCAAATAAAAATACAATTATTTCAAAACATTTTCAAAATATGTCAGACGTGCTGCACACACATTATTCGTTCGTGATAATTGCCTATATATTCGATTATTTAAAATACAGATTGAAGAGTTCATAAAAATCACAAATAATTAAGAGATTAATAAATAAATAGCAGAATAACGAAAATTTTATATTTTGTAAGCAGACGACTTTAATATGAGCTTCGTAATGATTCCATTGAAGTTATTATATTCCCAGATTCTAAAAATTTTCGATCTTAAGAAATTTTGATTGAAAATATTTTTATTGATCTTCGTAAGAATTAATTCCGCAGTTCTTACTTTTTTAATTACTATAAATTTAATTTGAGAATTAATTTTAAAAAGTTTCAATATAGTTGAATTAATTCGGGAATAATTCCTATGAAATGATAAATTTATTTTAATTGACAAAATATTGTTAGAACTTGTAAAATTCGTCTTGGAACGATTTATACTTTTCATAAAATATTCTATAATTTAATAATTCAGTTGGATTGGATTCCATTTCAATTTTAGATATGTTTACTATTACATATTTAAAAAGTTCCAGTACAAACTGTCTAATAAACTAATTATATCTGTTCCATGTTTACAGTATTAAAACGTGCAAATCTATCGAATTATAAAATCATTGTGTGATCTTTTTTGTTTATTATTTCACAGACAGACTTGTAATTGAAATTGCAAATTTCCACATTTTTTGTAATTGTGTAATAAAATAAAAATGCATAGAAACAATAAAATTACAGTAAAAACTTGATAATACAGACTTGGTAATGATCTGTCATAAAGTTTACGTTCAAATGTTAAACTTCCAACAGTACAAAATCAAGGCAAATCTATACAAGGTGAAATCACTACCAAATTAAGAAAATTGAGTGCAATACGTTCGACAGCTTCGGGATACAATTTTCATGAACAAGAACAATCAGATATTGAAAAGACTTCGCCTTAAATCGATTTCGTTTGGAATTCGCTTTGAAATCTGCATTAATTAAGGTACAAATGGAAGTAAATTTATGTAAATTGGATAATTCGGACTTGGATATTTAAACATTTTTATGCTGATTGAGTGCTACATGCTATAAGCATGCTTATAGAGTTTTTACTGTATTGTGAATAACAACAACTTTTGTCGTCAATTGTATATATTTTATTTTTCAAAAATTTGTTGACTTTTAACTTATTTCAATTGTTTTCATTATTTTTTTTTTTAATTGAATGATTAATCCATCCCCTTGATTTTGTTTACACAAAAAAATAAATTAATTTATAGAAGTGTAACGCACTTTGTTTTTGCAATAACAAACAATTTTAATGCATTATGTATGTATTTTATAAACATAATAAAATATTAAATAGTTGCAAATTAATTTATTTATTTTATATAAATAAATAGCTAAAACCTATGTATGTGTTTATATTATTGGTAAATGTAATTAATCAGGGTTATTACTGTTTTCACTTTCACATTTTATATTAATACAATAAATAATATGCATTTTATTTGAAAATTTAGATATACTTTTTTATAAATCTTGTATAGAATCATATTAAAATGTTTCCTTAAAACTGATTCTATATTTCCGGTACAATAACGTTATTTTATACTTTCAGGAGTTTTTTTCTTAATACATATTAATATCCCAAAACAATTGTAAATTACAAATGCAATTTTTATAAAAAAAGTAGTTGGAAGTTATTATGAAAACTATCAAACAAACTCAATTAATGAAATTAAAAATTCGCCCCTCTTTCGGAATTCTCAAGTAACTTCTCCCTCGGAAACATTTCACAAGATTTACAACTTTGTTTCCACCTGATTATAGTAGTATCATGATTAAATAAACAATTTTATTTCCATTCTTATTATTTTTAAGTGTAAAACTTCCATGTAAACAACTTAATCGCATTGGAAGTATATTTATTGAATGCATTTTTTAAATTATCGTATGATATGAAATTTGTTTACTTATCGTATTGACATAGAGTAATCATACACAAACAAACACACACACTATGCATTGCACTCACTCACTTTTCGTCTCACACGCACTCACACTGGAATGTTTTTATTATTTACACATGTAATTGTTTTTGTAATAGACAATTGACGGTCAAAGGGGCTTGTTTGTTGTTTAGCTGAGAATAACAAAACAAAAAAAAATAAACAACAACTATAAAAAACATGTGATCATGTTAACCGCAGAAGTGTTTTTATTATTGTGAATTATAAAAATTCTCCAGAATTCTTTCTTTAGATATTTAACTAATTTCGCTTTATTGTTGTTGTTGTAACAGCAAAAACTATACAATAATCTGGTTCGGGGTTTCACATCAATGTCCTAGCCTAAAAATTGTGCTACATCAACTGAATGTGTCCATAAATTCATTGGATATGTAGGATTAGCTAAGCAATTAAGTATGTGGTATCGTGAGAACCTTGACCACATGCTGGACATTCATTGGAAGCGGCACGGTCTATGAGTGACCAGTAGACATTAAGCCTGTGCCAAAACTAATCCTGTTTTCCGCTGCAGGTTTTCTTCTATATCTGCTAAGGGCAGTGGGATACCTCCAAACATGACATTCATGCGGTATACTGCGACCACGGAATTGATGGCGCCTCTATGAATGTCGTTACGTACACGAGGACTGATCTATCCAACTGTGTGTTGTTAAAGTTGGGATGACTCCTTTGGTGATATCCTATAAGGTACTGGTTAGTCAACATGACTAGGGAGGACCTTCGTTTTCTCGTGTAGATGATATTCCGAGGTAATTTGTAATCAGCGCGTTACAGCTCCACTGACCAACCAATCGTTTTATATGCAGCTAACAAAGTTTCTAGGCCGACTAAGATTCTTATTGTTTCTACTTTGCAATTTGTGCGTGATTGCAGTGCATGAGCTGAGGAAGTAAATAGGCTGTTAAATGTCCCCAAGATTTTTAAAAAAAATCGAGTAGTAGAAACAGTAATGGACGAAAATTGTTAGACATTGATGTCAAGGTCTACTGGGGGACTAGAGCTAATACCGGTGGGAATTTGCTGCTATACGAAAGACTCTAAGCTGTCATGTATCGTATACACAAACATCAGATCAAACCGATCGGATACCAGAAGCAAAATTGTTAGACTTTTTTACAATAGTGATCTCAACCACATGGAATAATTGATGAACGGAAAGAACTACAAAAATCGTATAGTGTGTTAAATGCAGAGCATGTAGTGAGGAACATTGATTGGAAAATTGTAAAAAATTACGTCCTGAGACTGAGTTTCAAAACCATGGACGATATTTCCACATTTAAGATGATTCACATATCAAAAATTCATGATATCTTCCTCTTCAACCTAACCTATAATCTATTCGGCTTGAGTCGGTTATGAAAGAATTTTATTTTATATGGAAATTAACAGCCTCTGAATAAATCTTCATGAATATACAGCAATGAGATGTTTACATGACTTTACTTTATATAAACTCGCCTTGGAAACACCTCTGGATAAGAAGCCCCGGCAATCTTTTTACTTTCTTCTAGTACGATAACTTTGACTGAAATTTATTATTCACATAAAGCCAATGTATTTAGTACATTCTTGCTTAAATTAGTTTAAAATTAACCTAAAAACTTTCTCACAGAAAACAATAACATCCAATAGGA